GTACCTTGTCCATATCCTGGGGGAATCTATTGGGAAGACCCCGAGGAGGAGGTACCTTGTCCATATCCTGGGGGAATCTATTGGGAAGACCCCGAGGAGGAGGTACCTTGTCCATATCCTGGGGGAATCTATTGGGAGGACCCTGTGCATGATTTCTATATGAGGGTATATTATTAGATCCTTTTAGAGGTACACCAGGTGGTGGCATTTTTACCCTAACATTTGGTACTTCCGTGTATCTACATGCTTTATCCCAAGGTTTACAATAATTAGTGCCATATGTTGTCATCCTTAATACATCCACTTGTGATAAAAATCTCTTCTTATTAGCCCCTAACTTTGGCGTTATTCCCGTGTTCCCATTGTTACTGCTATGATCCCAGTTTTCTGTAACATTAGTTTGCTACAAAAATGGAGAAAACATAAACATATGGAATTATGTTATACACATGTGTGCGACATTACTGTTTACATTAATATATACAATGTATGAACTTTCACACTTTGTACACTTGATGTCTGTTTAAAAGCACACACACTATATATGAAAACGCATAATGTGTATTCAAAATTAAACTAATTCAAACATGAACTGTAAATCTTTAAACATATATTTTTTTCTATCTTACATTGCTAGGGCAATTCAGGATCCATAGTGCAAGGATGCACATGAAAACTTTGTTAAAACATTGTACTATATTCACTTTATGCTTTGGAGTGCATCCGATTATTCTTTCTATTACTGACGGAAAAGCATCTGTTGACGATTTTATCCTTGATTCACTACCATCATGCCCAGCAGTTTTTAATACTACACATCTTCGTTGTTCCATTTTATACACTTTTTAAATTTAATAAAATTATAATTACGTACAAGGACAATTATAATCTTCATTAGGTATATTCTTCACTTTAACCATATGATATTTCTTAAATACATTATCGTCAAACCATGATACAATTTGGACACATAGTTCTAAATGTATATCTTCACAAGGGGTGATAAAAGCATGTGATCTATATCTTGTAAGCTCAGACTTAATTGTAGGGCTGTATGTATACTTATATGCATTATGCGTCTATGTACAATGTCTGTATATGTGAGCACACAAGCAACCTTATCATTTCTTAAGGACAATAATAAATTACACATTGAAACTTCTTCCTTCCAAGAACCAATAATAACCGGAACTGTTCCAAGATAAAATATATACACAATGTAAATATGTAACAGAATAGGGATCATTAATTAATACGTTACGAAGTATACCAAAATACCCCTGTTCTATTTTTCATGTGCTGATTAGGTCTTGTTGTACAGCACTCAATTTATATATATATGAGAGAGGATGTTCCTGGAGGATATACTCATATGGTAGATAATGCACATACAACAAACCATGCAACATATTCTTCCCCGTGATGCAACACGTATTCTATATATTTCCTTAGCCTAAAGCAAAGTTCGTGACATATATTTTACTTTGTGATAAAAAATGTTGTCGGCTGGAGCTTCATTTTATTACATAATAATGAATCAATCATGTCACATCCACGGTTAGGAATATAAGCAGGCAAGCAAATTTTCCCATATGCACACATATGTATATAGATATGTACGTAGTACATATATATACCTAGCCACTCTTTGGTTTAACTTTCAGCAAGCTCTCGACAGGTGAAAAACAAAGAGGGATGCTAAATTTTAATGTTACAAAATTGTAGCTCCCTTATACAAGAGTAAAAAATATAAAATGTACTCTGATCGAAATACATGTACTATGTAAATGTATTGTACAATTAACGATGGAAGACTAAACAAAACGCATAGATAAAAAAACGGAAGATTATATAAATTGTGTACATGTCACTATACAAATGCGAGCGAAAATAAGCTTATAATAGAAAACTAAAGTATGACATAAGATGCAACAAAATATACGATAAAAAAAATTAGAGTAAAAAAAATTATTTATTATCATAAAATTGTAAAATGCATACATAAATATAACATAATGCAATAAATGGAAATGTATAAGTAAAAGCTACAGGTATGTAAAATTACACTGCTTACTTAAACGTACATTTAATAAATCTAAAAAATATATAGAAACACCTTAAGGAGATAAATGTAAAAAATTAAAAGAAACGTAGAAAATATTAAAGAAAATATAATATATATTCCCTCTAAAAAATGCAAATATAAAATAAATTGCATAAAATTAATGAAAAATCTGAAATACCGAATACATAAGTATTAAAATGTTTTTCCTTTTTGTAAATAAAATAAGCGCATTTTTTAATATTACACAAAAATAAGAAACCAAAATTTCAAATATTATTACTTATTGATAATATAATGCACACATGCAATTTTTGGATATAAATACTTGGTGCTCCTATAGTATGTATATAAAAAAATTGATACATCAAAAATGGGTTTGGGTGACATTTTCTTTAATTTTAGAAAAACTGCATTTTATATGTATAATAGAAATAAAAAAGCATATTTGTTTATAAAAAAAATATATATATTCTTTTTAAAATTATTATTAAAAACAAAAAAAAATGAAGAATAAAAAAAAAACTGTATTAATCACTTTTACTTTTATTCAAAAAATTACCTTCTGATCATAAAATTTGCCTATTTTTTTTTAATATTTTACACTATTATCCATTTTCCTAAAAAAATTCGCGTGAACACTTTTTACGTGCTACAAATCTTTTTGTACAAAATAAAGAATACATTGTTATAGTATATACATTAAAAAAAAAGTATTCAAAAATGTGCGTAAAAATAAAACTGAGCATAATAATAACATAACAGTTTTAGCATACGTTTTATTTTTACTCTAAATTTATGTGCATGAGTTTATTATTTTTTAGATGAAATTAGTGCATACGCAGGAAAAAGGCCCATGTGTCCAAAATACGCAAAAGTGTACTATATAACATTAAAAGAAGTTTAAGTCCAAATGGAAAAAAAAAAAAAAGAAAACTAAAGCACATATTTTATAACATTACGCTGTAAGTAATATTTCCTGCCTAAATTAATTAATCCTAAATTCATATTTCTAACATGACGATTTGCTAAATTCGCGCGGTTTTATATTGCTGCATATGTATTTAAATATGTGCCTACTTAGAAATCATTCTTTTATAATTTTTTTTTTTTTTTCCTATTCCTAACTTGGAATTTCTAATTTATTGATACTATGAAATATAAAATTAGCGTTACGAGTACATCTAAGCTATTTCATAACACCATATGATATTATACTTGGATTTATTCTCAATAAATTGTGTAGGTCACGATTTAAACTAAAAGATTAACCTCCTGTTTACTCTCATGAGAGACGCGAAAAATATGTAGAAAATTTTCTCGCGCAACCCTTAAGAACAAAATCCACATAAGAGAAAAACGCTCTTTACACCTTGACATATTCTTTCTAAATAAAGTTGGACCGCATACATTTATAATCATCTATTAGGCGCGTTCACTAACGGATAAAAATGTGAAATATAAATTCAACTGCTAAATCGTACAATAATGTAATATATAAACGTACGCACTACATTTTATGTATAACTATAACTGCCTACGTTTTAGTGTTATCCTATAATCATCAGAAAAAAAGTGTATTAAGCTAAACCCTTTGCAAACTCTAAATTTTTGTTTTGTATAAAACACTCATACACTATCCTTTAGTAGCATTCTCCAGACTATGATAATTTTTCGCTATATAATTCCAATTTCCCAGACGAAATGGAAATTTATTGAATTCATCTAAAAGTTATTATGTGTAAAAAAGTTGTTTATGTAGCTCTTTAAAACACATTAAGATCTCCTTTAATTTTTTTTTTTTTTTTCCTTTTTTATCATGTTAAGCAATCTCTAATTTGGCTTGATTTATATAAAAGGAAACACCTTCCCATATTCAACATCGGCTTTATCAATTTAAACTATCAAAGTGATTGTTCTACTATTGTAACTGCTGTGTTTTCTTGTAATGGAAGGTGTACACAAAAAATACAGCAGTATCAATCCTTCTGTTATGCATTATGTATTGTGCGCATACTATTTTAAAGAAAAATGGGGCGTATGCATGTTATTTATTTTTTTTTCTTGTGCAGCCTACTCAAAGTGAATACTTAACTTATAATATGTGGGAGCGCTCTTTTTATTCTTCCTCATTTTATAAGTGATCTATGCTCGATGAAATTATGCAAACGAGGTTTAGTAACCTAGCATGAAACGCGTTTTATCGGAATGGGGCAGAGTATTATGCGCACGCAAATATGTATATATATATGCCTTTTATGTACATTTATCTATTTACGTCTTCCAACTCTTTGCACACAACCCAAGCTGTAGAAGGTCCCCCCAAAGGAGTAATTATGATTTACTGAAATAACGGTGTGTATAAATTAATAAACATTTGATGGTACAATTATAAAAGCACATGCGCTGATATCTATTTTGTATTTCCTCTATCCAGATTACGTTATCTTTATTTACACTATTTTGCTATATGTCATATGATCGCTCACTTTTTAAAAAATTAATGCCTGCATATAGCATATACACGTTCTGGACATGAGGATAAATAACTATGAGAATCCAAAGTGCTACTATGCTGCTTAACCAATATATATATACAAATATGTAACGAACAAAAAAAAGATATAATATCGGAAATTTTACTGTTTTGTTACGATATAACAAGGCTTAGTTTTATATTTATTATGAAAACTTATTTGTTCGTTTTTTCCCGTCTAAGTAAACGCATTAGGAAGGCACATTTAACATCTTGTTGTAATTTTCCAGACACATAAATCTATATATATATGTTATAAAAATGAAACTCCTTAAAAAATTATAAATATGTACATATATTATTGTAAAACCTTCCCGGCTTCTGTACACGCATTGCTGATTTAACTAAATCAAAGACATGATACAACGGCAATAATGCGCAAAATGTATCTTGAAAATTAAACAGCAAATATTTATAGTATAAAGGAATAAATAATAAAAAAAAGGGGGGGGGGAAAAAGAACTTTAACGGCGTCTGCTATGTCGTAGCAATAACAAGATAAGGATACCTCCATAATATTTACATATGCACATTAACGTTGCTATCCTAAATATACGATTTCAAATATAGCGCATTGTCATAGAGTATGCGGAGGACAGGGCATAAAGCGCCACCAAATGAGTGCATATATATATACTAACATATCTTCAGGGAAAAAGTTTCTTCCGTTTTCTAAAAATATTAAGTTTTTCTTACGTATATTAATACGACAGTATCTACCAATCATGCATACTATTTATTTATCTGAAAACAATAAGTACTTTCATAGGAGTCACACATGAAATATATGTGACATAATACGTATATATATATATATATACATATAGCACGGAAAAAACGGAACTGTATTGATTTTTCACAGTAGAAAAAGGTATAAAAATATGTTAACTCAGAACGATTAAACTGTGTGCATGCGCACGTACGTGTATGTTCGTGCATACAGCTAACGGTCCATTCACATACGAGTGTACACATATATATACAATAATACACTATTTGACGTGTGCGAAGTATGCACCTATAATAAATATATAATATATATATAACGTATACTTATTTATATATATTATTTATTTATAACAATACAAATCCGCGTAACCATCTTCCATTGACCACCGAGTCCACAGTTTCTTTGCAAGCCTTTATGCTTTCTTTAATACATTTTTGTACTTCCAACATATCTTCCTTCTTGTCTAGTATATTTCCACGCATCTTTTCGAATCCTTCTTTTATGGTTTGTTCAAAATCTGAGACGTAATCTTGATCAATTTCCGTTAATTTATCTACAACGACCTTTCTTAATTCATCGACAGCTGGTTTCATATCTTTCTCAATATCAGTTTTCAGCTTACATGTGAAATCTTGAATTTTATGTTTCACGTCAGCTTGTATGTCATTTTTTACTTTGCTTACAACATTCTCAATTTTTTTCTTTAAGTCCTCATCAATTTCTACGTTTAATTTGGACGCAAAGTCTTCAATTATGGGTTCTACTTCCTTTTCAATATCTTTAAACTTAGCCTTTAAATCATCAATTTTGGGTTGAACATCTTTTTCGACATCTTTAATTTTATCAGAGAATTTATTCATGTGTGGAATGAGTTCTTTTTCAAGATTGGAAATTTTTTCAGCAAATCCTTCTAATTGGGGCTTTACTTCTTCTTGGATATCCTTTAATAACTTTTGTTTAATATTATCACATTTTGGTTTAATTTCACTTTGGATGTCTTTTATGGTGGCAGATAACTGATCAAGTTTTGGTTTCATTTCCAATTCGAGCTCATTCAAATATTTCTGGGTAAGGTCATCAATCTTTGGTTTTAGTTCCTTTTTAATATCCTTCACTTTGGTAACAAATTCATCTCTTAAATCTTCGTATTTTTTATGAATGGACCATTCAGAGTCATCTAATTGATAAAGTACATCCTCAGCAACGTCATCTACAGTTGGCATATCAGTTTTTTCATTAAAATTTAATTCGATATTGATTAGGTGGCAGCCACTTAATTCATCATCATTACATAATTCTGAGAGATCCTTTTCTAATTCCTTTAGTTTATCTTTTAAACTATCTAATGATCCTTTTAAACCTTCTTCGTAATTCTTCTTAATTTTTTTCTTAATTCCTTCTATCTTAGGTTTCATATCCTTCTCGAAATTTTCCTTAATGGAAGTTGCGATTTCATCATACTTTGGTTTCAATTCCTTCTCGTATTGTTCGCATGCAGTACCTACAAAACTGCCTATCATTTCTTCAAATATGTTTTTCTTGGTGGGTTCTTCTTCCTTAGTAGCGCCGTCGGCAGCATCAGAAGCGGCAGCTTCGGCGGCCTCAGCTAACATTCTGTTAAATTTTGTCTCATATGATGGAGAATTGTATCCAAAACTGTTGGTGCATGACATAGCATATGAGTCCTAAAAAATTGGCATAGCAAACGGAAGGTCAGAATATGCACACATATTGAGAGCATGTGTACAACAGATGCATCTCCTTAACGGTTACCCGTTCGTAATTTTTCCTAACGCCATACACTCCTTTTCCTCATCACATAAGGAGAGGCACAGTACACATACGGCCTACATATTACGCATATCTATATGTATATATATATAAATATATGGTAATGCGAAGCAGAGAATATAAATTCCTTTTTTTTGCTTTCCTTTTCATATCTTCATTATTATAATCTCCTTTTCCTTACATTTTGGTAGTTTAGGACGGAACAAGCTACAAGTCCGGCAAAGGTGAAAACTTTCACGGCGAAAGGGAAGATATTCCTTTTTCCCACATTGTTATTGTATTTGCTTAGAGCAGCCATTGTTTCCAAGGTAAAAATTATAATACCTAAAAATCATTACGCAAAATAATTCTTCTTTATTATTTATGTTTACGTTTTAAATCAAAATTTTAAATAATTAATATGTTCAAATAATTAAAATTTTATATTTTAAAATTTAGTAAAAGTAATCAATTTCGATTTCTAAATTGGTAAGAAATGTAAAAGATGATTATAGTGGTATTCCTCATATAATGTTATTTTAAAATTTATGTTAAATTATTTTATTCTCATATTTTTTTTTTTTTTGGACCTACACGTATTTTTATTTATGCTTGCAACAGAATTATTATAAAAAGAAATGTATTATATTAATTCAGTTTAACGTGAAAAATAAGTCAAATAAAAGTATTATTTATGCGCTAATCATGGGTTTATATTTGCTTTGGCGTACTCATATAACCACATTTTTTATTATTCCTGAAAAGTTAAATAAATTATTATTTGCATATTGAGCTGTTTCGAATATGCTATTCCCTTGTATCATGTTTTTTTTGTTTTTTTTTTTGCATAATTAGAAATGAGCATTATAACATATTTCTAAATATTTCCTGAAAAAGAATACAGTATATTTATGCGGATTGGGCGCATATGGTGGCTAAAAGGGAACACAAATAAATCATTTATGTTATTTTTCCATTATAATTTTTAAACTATTTGTATAAAGATTTCAAGTAATTGCATTTTAACATTTACGTAAATTTGCAATAATTAGACTATTGTGCATTTGTACATTTTATGATTTTATTCTTATATTCTTATTCGATTTTTATAGACTTGAAATTCGAAGTAGCAATGGAAGAAAATACTATTATAAAAAATGGACCAGTCCACAAAAAAAATAATTTATTTCTGTACATATTTCCCAAGGACAGGTTATTTAAAAGGGGTTACATATTCCATACGCTACAGTAATTATTTTATTCTTACAATATTTAGAATATTATTTTTTTTTATTCTTCTGTGCTACTAAGAATATGCCCTCCTGCTGTCTTTGCAAATCGGATATATGCCACATGTTCGTGCATTTCATGCAAGTTAACTGTACATGTATTTTTTATACGTTCAATTGTACAGGCAGAACATTTTGTGCATCCCATTTTTCATGTGTATTAATGCCGCTTAGCAAAATACAGCATTAAATGTGGTCTAAATGGGAATAATGAATTTTAGGAAAGTTAGACTCTACGCATTCACGCAGCCATTGTCGTGCCCATTGCCCCCATTATGATCCTTACTAGTAGCATTAACGATTAGTCTTAGAAAATAATCCGATACTGCAAAAATTTATCATTTGAAAAAACGCAAATATTCTTCTCATTGCATGGGAAGTTGTTCACTGTAAATATACAAAAGTGCAAATTACGTGGTAAAACAAATGTACCAAAATAGGAACAAAGAATATATAAAATAATGATAATGATAATGATAGCACTAGTAATAATAAACAAATAAGGAACTCGTAGAAATAGTTACAGTACAGAAGGTGCTGTTTCTGGCTGCTGAATTTGTAGTATACCAGAAAGAGGCATTCCTAATGTTGTTTAGGAAAAAAATATGTAAGAACCTCCACGGGCTCCACATATGACGCGTTCATATTTACGATGTTGTGAGTTTTTACAAATGGAATATTTCATGTTCATTTTGTAAAAGCTAGGTTATGTGTCTTGTTGAATGATATAACGAACGAAGGAGCAACTTAATCGTTCCTTTTCTGCTATTAGCATCATATGTGTGCATACATATGTTAAGGTCAAAACGTAAGTTTTATGTCCTCGATAGTGCCGAAGTGAACAATGGGAACTACTCCCTTAGATAATATCACGTGTGTGCTCATATTATTATAACGAGCATCCTCCTTTTTTCTATGTTCATTTCATCAGCGCATTATAGCACCTACATCATGGGGGGAATTAAAGAACACACCTTTGCGAGCAGCACACAATTTGTAACGTTAGAAAAGTCTTAGGAATGCTATTCTTTTACGACATTTTTATTTTCCCTAATTGTATAAAATACACATAATTTTAGGTAACCACGCCTATGCAGCGATTTATTATAACAAAAAAAAAAAAAAATGCAACAAAATGATCATAAAAAAAATTCTGTTATCTATGATGTAGCTAATAATGTTTTACGTTTTTGTAGAAAATAATTATCTCCTCGACAATTACTAAGTATTTTATTCGGCAACGTATTTTTAACAAAATTAGCGCGGTTTCATTCATATATGCATATGTTAATATGTCCTCAACCATGTATGCACAGGCAAACCACAAAAGGCGACTCCACTGTCTGCTAAAATGCAGCACTGTTCTCATTTTCGTGTGTCTAAATGATAAAACTTGCACCAGTACTGAGATATTTCTGTCTCGATGTTTCCTTTGGTGAGAGCGCTATGAAGTTTAATCAACTGCAGCTATGTGCATATATTTACATTTTCATTTGTGTCTCCCAGCACCACCATAATGGATATTTTTTATATACCTGTACTTCAGTGACAAAGGCAAGTGCAATATTTGCTGAGATTAAATAAAAAATGGTGAAAATATTTCATTTAAAAAGGAGTGCAAAAAAAAAAAAAAAAAAATGTAGTGAAAAAAAAAAAATGCCAATTCTGCCAAACTCAGGTTGAACAAATTTGTCGTGAGACGAAGTTGCACAACTGTCCCAAATTTTTAAAACATCACACATGTTCCTCTCACGAATTACTCAAAAAGGAAAAAAAGAAAAAAAAAAAAAACAGGAAAACAAATTGAAAAGACAAATCCGTAATGACCGTGCTACAATGGGCAAACTTCCTACAGTGCATTAGGGAAAACAGATGAATGTCCACTCGTTGTGACACTCAGCGGTCAGGAACAACGCGAGGAATGATGACTCGTCATTTTTCCATTTTGTAATATGAACTTCATCCTAAAGTAAAACTTCATGACTTTCTTGTCCTCCCCTGCCCCTTTTTAATGCATGCATTATTTGTTAAAATGATCATTTGGAAAATATATCCAATCTTTTTGTACCATTTGGTTCTCTATTCGTTTTTTCCATGCACAACAACTAAGGGAAACAGGCCATCAGGTCTCCTCTTAAGTGATGAAAACATAAACAAAGTTTTATCTATTAATCATATTGATAACTTTGATAATTATCTAAAAATTATTAAGTTCCAATATGACATGACAGAAATAGCAAAGGAACACTTTAAAAAAATCACTAGCCAAGAAAGACAACATCTTCTAAATTCCAAGGACATTTTGGTTCAAGTTCTTAAAGAAAATGCAGAAAACTATAAATTAGACATGCCACAAGAGTGTGTGCAACATACGGCTGAGTACATCCTCCATGAATTAAATCGAACATATGAAGCGCAAAAATTAGAACAGGTAGTGTTTGATACATATTGTGATTTCTACAGAAAGGAGTATTATGAATATAGAGATAGACAATTTAATGCAGCCTTTGAAAATGCTCATAGTAATTGGGCTAATAACCAATTAACAAAAAATTTTGATGCCCAATGGAAAAAAGTCAAATGGAATATATGGGTCGATTATTTTAATGATATTTTGCATACTCTAAAAATTAAGGATTACATGCTACATGCCTCAATTCTGCATTTACAAACTAATTCTAGTTTATGCAAGGACATCTATGATGCTTTAAAAATCTCATTAATTAAAACCTATACAAATCCTTTCAAACAGGAGTACTACAAATTTCTGAATTCATCTGTGGAGGAATCGGAACAACAAAAGAAGAATTAACCACAAAAAAAGCAAGCCATAAGTAGTAAGTAATTCACAAAAAAAAGGGGGTCGCACTTGTAAAAAATTCAGTACCAGGATCAAACAAACAAGTATCACTTGGCACATGTCCTGATGATTAATTCAATGTTATATACATTCATATGTACCTTTTATGTTCGTCTACTCATGCCACATACACAAATTACACTGGTCAAACGTCGTATTGCGCATACGGAAAGGGCAACTTAGAGCATTGTACAAATATCGGGGTGAACCCTAATTTTGCGAAAATAAAGAAGAACATAGTAAAGTAACACAAATGGGAAGAACGCATTTAATTTCAAAAAGAATTGTCACTCCCCATGAAAGTAAGCACCAAATGGTCTACTTTTTAAGATCACTATGCATGGCACATTATTACACCATTGTTTCACTTTTTTTAGCATGAAAAAAAATGCCCCCAAAATAATTTCTGTTTTGTCATATATATATATATCCCCTCCCCTGCGTTATGTGCAATACTAAGTTGATGCACTGGTGGTTAATTTCTGCTCATTTTGAACAAAAATTTTCATGACCCCCTGTTACTGTATAATAATTACTTGCTCTACCTTTACACATCACAGTAAATGTCTTTATATCTACCATTTTCATCTCAATCGTTTTATATTTGTATGCATGTGAGGGAAAAATAAAAACGACATCATTCCGTCTTCTGCCCTTTTTTTTTTTTCATATTGTGCTGACCTATATATTCAACATGTTAATAACCAGAAAATGAAGTTTTTGTTTTTTATGCCAAACATGCGTGCAGTTATGTATGCATGACAGCACGAACGTGCACTTAAGCAACTGCACGCGCACTCCACTTTAAAAGCACATATAAACACATCTCCGTCCAAGTTCACCCGCTTATTACACTTAACAAAAAAGCAAGCAACTGTACAATTAGGTATAATTAAGAAGACAACTGAATAAAAGACTAAACAAAAAGCGCAATTGAGTACCTAAGTAGAGCCTAGACCCCCTTTACACAAATGCGTAAAAATAAAAACATTTAACGCGCTTCTCTACTAACTAATAGCAACCTGAAGCAGGTTGCATCTTTTTCGCACTAACACATTTTTATCCGTTTCTTTCGTATTTATGTTGATGATTCTGCTGATATTAGTCGTTTTAATACTTGTCAATGCTTCATGAATCCGGGACGCCCTTCCATGAATTTCTCTCTTCATTCATCACACGTTTGAGATTTCTACACCATTGAGACCCTCAACCGAAGCGCAGTTATAATGTGTTAAATCCAGTGGTAAGTAGACAAGAACATCTATATCATCCTCCTACTCCTCTTCCTCCCACAAGCAATACCGCAAATGCGCTCAAGAAAATGATAACACAATTTTATCGCTACATGGAAATATTTTCGTGTTGTAAATGCATTAACCGGTGTGCTAAGAAAACACAGCCCAGCCCTTTCCTAAACGTGTTCTGAAATGTGAAAAAGAAAAAATTAAGTCATTTTACAAAAAGGTGACTAACCCCTATTATTACTTTTCATTTACGATCAATTATCCATAAATTAACAAATCATGGATGAAGCCAATGAATCGCGAAGAGGACAAATTTACACACATATTCACGCATTCTAATTTTCTCGCGATACGAAAAACTCAGGTCTTACCACTAAAAGCGAGTATAAACAAATTAAAAGAACCAAAAATATATACAATCTGACTTCCTTAAATTTATTAGTACTGTTTACTTTTTTCACTTTTCTTCCGATTTGTCTTTTGCGTACATTCTCATTCTCCTCCTTACCAACATGTGATGAGGGGTCGTCTGCCCCGTCACCTTGATTACACTCATTTGTTATGTTTTCGGTGAAAAGTTCATCCAAAGTTAATTCTTCTTTATTAATGTCTTTATTCTTTTCAAAAAAACTATCCTCGTGCTTTCCTCTACTTTCGGCTCGTTTTCTTTCCATTTTGCGTGTACGTATATACTTTTCGTTTTTGCGAAGATGTGAAGTAGTTTCTGTTGTTAACGTTTGTACAGTACATAGGGTGATATGCGCCCATCTTCAAACGTACACATGTATATGCTTACAGGAACGTGTTTACATGGATATGTCTTCCCCCTTGTTCTCATGCATTTCTGTCAACTGGACACTTTTTTTGCGGCGCTAGAAAAAGCAGTCAAATGGCAAATTTCTATATGGCCTAGTCAAAAGAAGACTATTAAGGGTGAATTGCTAAATGTACAAAACAAACAGATGTATTGTTACGATCAACATTTAATTCCCCTCTATCCTGAAGCAACTTTGAAAAGGCCTCTTTGTTGGAAAAATAAACGCACGAAATGCTACCAGAAGAAATAACACAACTGAATAAACAAATAATTCACAAACGTCCAACTGCAACTATTATGGGTACTATTAATATTTAAAGTCTGAACTTTGTTTCTACAAAATTTATTTAAAAAAAAACACAACGCTTTAGACAAATTAAAAGACCTCTAGAAACACCTGTGTACATTTTTTAAGTCATTTGGTATATTGCCAATTTGCGCATATGTCATTACTCACGTTCGCATACAACACAGCGGAAACATAGTTCAAAATTTTTAATCTTTTTATTTGTGGGCTGCATATTTAAACAGAAAAATATAGTAATATAAAAGAAAAAGACAAAAAATTAATCACTTTTTATCATTATAAAATATACTACAACGGGGTAGCAAGGAAAATAGTTTTCAAAAATAACGATCTTTTATTTACTTAAAAAAAACAAAAGCAACAGATTTATTCTGACGGTACCAAACACGAATTATGTGTCCAACTTAACAACGCATAACGTCAAAATGCTTAGTACTACAAAAAAAAAAAAAACAAAAAAAAGAATCAATAAAAAAGCGCTATGCAGCAACTAATTCTTTCTTATTGAAGCGTTCGAGTGCACATTGGGACTCATTGAAGTCTTTCTTTTCATTGCAAAGTTAAAAATTTTTACTTGTAAAAGGACAGAGCTGCGACAAAAATATAAGGCAAACGTTATTAAGAAGCCTTTTCGTAAATTTTTTTCCCACACTTCTCTTGCTTGTTTTTTAACTCGCCAAATCTGCGTTTGTTATGTCCTCACATTTATTTATCATCATTCCAAATGTAGACAAATAAATAAAACTGTTGCAGCACAGCAAAATTAAAACTGCCTTATTTGGACGATATCCATTTTTTTTTCTAAACCTTGCACATACGGAGGATTATTAAACATAGCATACCTTACATTAGTATTATGTATATATGCATGCACATTTGTATACGTATTCGTCATTTCCCATTCAAGTGAAGGTGATATTGACTGTTAGCATTGACTTTGATTATTCTTTCCACGTCATTTTCATTGGCCCGGTTTTTCACCTGTTATGCCAGTCTGCTTAGCGCGTTACGTTGCACATTCTTATTATATTGTTCCTGGTAGAGGCTTAAAGGAATGCCTCAAAGAAGACCTTAAATAAAAATATTTGGATCCATATAAACACATGCATATGTGCAAATAAGCCAACGAATTGTGGCCCCATACACAATGGCATGAACCCTAAATATTAACTCCTCTCAATAGATCATGTGAAAATCTTCACTTAGCAACTAAAACGAGATATTTAAAAAACAAAAAATAAATAAAAGGGTTAGCATTTCCAAATGATTAAACTGGGCAACGAATTACATCACCATTCCGCTGACCGGTTTTTTATTTGATATGCACTCATCACATGGAGGATTCATTTTCCCCATCAATGTGCACATGTGTTAATTCATACCCAATTGTAACAAACAAATGCAGGCTTAACTTTTCCAAAAAAAAATAAAATGAAGGAAATAAAAGTAAAAAGGACATACATATACACACGCACCCAACTGCAATGCAATGGAAAATACTTAATATGAAGCATCTTAGCAGCCTCACGTGAATTTCTTTTGATACAAAAAGGGGAATGTGTTTTCTAGATAAAATGCAAATGGACATGAGTACCTTCTATAAATGCGCTTTATCAATTTGATATGCTTCTGAACAAAAAAACAGAGAAATATTTTTTCTTTAAATAAGCAAATTGTCAGCTTAAGACTTTCAAAAATTGCAGACCAAAGAAGTCAATTTATGCAAAAAAAAAAAAAAAAAAAAATGCCACTTCAACATTTTTCAGGTACCACTATGTTATTCATTATAACACATACAACGTAATAAAAAAAAAAGAATTCTCAAATGTACCTTTAAAAAAGGGAACAAACACGTACATAATGCTGAAATATTTTATTTTTTTATTTTATTTTTTTTTTTTGTGCGTATGAATACATCAACCTGAACCCATTGTAGCTACAATATTTTATTTACTTTCTTGTGCTAAATGATAATAGTAATTAATGCGGAAAATTCAATATTGCCACCTTAGCACAGTGGCAGTGCGTTGGTCTTGTAAACCAAAGGTCGGGAGTTCGATCCTCCCAGGTGGCTAATTTTTTCCTGGAAACAAAAATTTTCAATCGTGTGAAACTAGCAAAATTAATACCAATAAAATTTTTTATTTGACAGGTAGAAAAAAAGGTTTATTCACTATTTAATGCAAAATTATTGCTGTAATTACTTTAATAAAATGGAGCAATTATATATGCCCACTTCCTCACAAAAACGTATAGTTCCATGTATTATATTTTTTATATGTAACCACCATTTAGTATTGACCTTTTGAACATTTCATATTTTAACGCAGCGCCTCAAATGTTGAATTTATCACGCTCGTAAATTGGAAATAAAATAAGGGGATATGCTCCAATGTGGAACTTTTTTTTTCTTTTTTTTAAGCGCTGTGTATTTAATTCTTTCCACTGCTGACGTATCACCATGCGTTTGAAATTTTCCCTTTAGTTAACTTTAAGAATTTCTCACCAGGTTCAAAAAAAATAATTTAAGAAGGATATGTCCTGTCATACATAATTGTGTACCTACAAATCAATTCGCATATGTACATATACGTACATGCGTGTTCACATTATATTTGTGATAAATGAATAAATTGTACTTAAAAAAGGATTACGGCGTGATTAATATTCGTCATTTAAAAAGCGCGAATATACGTAGCCAAATATAGCCCTTTACTCGTACACGTATAACACAAAAAGGCGTTTTAATAAATGGACAACAAATGCATACATATATTCATATACAAATGTGCATACATATCGATAAGCATATGTATATATATGTACACCTTTTCAACTTGCGTTGCGCAAACCCATTCGTAAAGAAGCACCATGCGACAAAATACGCGACTCGCAATTGTACGCCATAATGTGAAAACATTCTTGAAATAAGGGACCATCCAAATAAATAACTTGCGCTTCGCCCTTTTTAATTAGGGAAAAAATATATAAAGAAATTTAAACTTTACTGGATGAACGACAGCGCCCATAATTTTGCAATAACTGATGTTTCGACATTTTCACCCTTCCTATAATGTGACAACTGAAATTTTTCATTTTTATTTTTCGTATTTGTTTCCGTTACTATGTTTAACGTTAAAAGCATTGTCTCAATTTTAAAAAAATGCAAAAATTTAAAAAATCGCAAAACAAAAAAAAAAAAAAAAAAAAAATACGAGCACCGAGGATCGAACTCGGGATCTCCTGCGTGTAAAGCAGGCGTCATAACCACTAGACCATGCTCGCATACTAAAGTATTTCCTACTTTTTTAATAAATATCGGATTCGATTACTGCATTCCTACTCATTTCCTTAACCAACTGTTTTTTCATCGTAATTTTACTCCTGTTCCCATGCATACGTTGCTGCAAACAGTGCATACATATTACAGCATTAGCAAAATTAATTTTATCCTCTTTGCAGCGCGTATCATAGTATTCGTAGAAACATTACCCCAATAGGCAAAAACTCACTTTAAAAAAGAAAACAAAAGTTATGTTGTCATTAAAGCCGTCTCTTATTTGTAGGATTCTACAAGATTCTTCGCATACGATAAAAAGGAACGGATTTTCATGGATATGCCCTTTTTACTCCGTTTTTGGAATGGCTACACCATGTCATATGCGCAGGTAAAAAAATAATTTACTCTTCTCAATTAACAAATTTCTCCTGCGTACGAATGTATACCCCATGGTGAAAAAAAAAAAAATAAATAAATAAAATAAAAAGGGTGGTACATGAATAGCACATCCAATTTTAGTGCAACACCTTTAACAGGACCACAGAAATCTATTTTCCCTAAAAAAAAGGCATTAAACCAATATTAACAAAGTAATCATGTTATCTTATATATGTGTATGATGGATCATAACAGATTCATATTTGTCTTAGCTTTATACAAAAAGGAGGAATTACTTTTATAAATAGCATCTTCCCTTTTCCACTTCTGACATGTGGATACAGCTTTATTTGAAACGTAAATATAGAGACTTGTTGACTTTATTCATATGCAGTCATATAACGACTTTATTGCACAGCAGTGCGCGGGCATACATATGTGATAATACCAGTTAGCGGTCTTTACGTTATTACGTGAAATTCAGATGGTATGCTCTTTTGTGTGTTCATCAAATGTAGCGTGTGTTTATGTGTTTGTATATTGCCCAGTGTAACAAGGCACAATTTATTTTGAGGGGGGTACGAAGCGAAACTTTGATTGGTTTGATAAATTTTTTCCTAGAAAAGAGTATGCCCACAAATTAGGGCTCTATTATTATCAGCAACATAATGCCATAGATTTTTTCTTTAAATGCACATGGCGCGATGAACCTAATTGATTCATTAATTTTTTCCCACCTGGCAAGCTATGCTTGAAAAACAAAAATACTTCTGGGGTGGGTATCAGTCGTCCACCTTTTCGAGGCATACGTATTTTCTTCCGTGTGGAATACGTGCATATAAATCTGCATACATTCATGCGCGAATACACAGACGCAGCATTTTGGGCCTTTCCTTTGTTCCATTCCCACAAAAATATGCCGTAGGCAACTTCCAAGGCTAGTAAAATTTGCCACGCATGTTATGTTTTTCCCACAATAATTTGGCATACATTTGAGAGCCTTCACATTTGGTTTATATGAAGAGGTCCGCGCATCCATTCGGCGGTGTGTGCGCACGGTAAAATATATATGCGCATATATTCATGCAAATCACTTAACTGTGCAAATAAAAAGAGAAAACTTCAACAAAAGGAATATTCCGCTGCTTTTAATTTTATGATTATTTATTTATTTTATTTATTTTTTTTTTATGGCATGTCTTCCCCTTCTTCCGCTTATTTTTCTTTTCGTTTCCCTGTTTCACATTTTTTACACAAATTATAACAGCATAACGAATAATTCTGCAAAATGGAAGCATATGTTAAGTTACTCCTAGAGGGAACAAAGGAAAACCCTTTCATCTTATGTGAATTTACAACATTAATTATTGTGACGGGATAATTTTTTTTTAGGGCTGGAGTGGCTTAAACAGCGCAAAAAAAAATGTGTAAAAAAAAAAAAAAAATGTCCCCATAATGTGTTAGTAAAATAGGAACATAGCTTGGTGAAAATAAGGTAAAAGAAAGTTTCGATTTTGAACTTGCAGCTTGAAATTTGCCATAAGGATTTCGCAATTTTGAACGTTCAACCTTCAAGCTCAGCTTTCCGGTTAGTCCTTTCCCTTTCCTTTTCCCATTTTAATTTCTCCCTTTGTAATTTCCGTTCACTTATTTCTTTCGGTTTATCCTTTTTTCACGCGTTATTCGAACATTCCCTTTTTTTTTTTAAGAATACTTTTAAAAATTGTAAGAACAATGTGTCAAGCAGAACGAAGGAAAACGCGCGAAGAAAATTGCTCAACTGGTTTCATCAAATTTACACAATTTTTAAAATGTTCAGTTTTTTATTTTTTAAAATTTTATTTAATTTTATTCAATTTTACTTAATTTTATTTAATTTAGTTCCCGCACTTTTTCTTTCTTTCCTGCCCTTAAAGTGAAAAAAGTAAAACAATGTATATGGGTGTTATTTCATTTTTAAGTGCGGGAAATGTTCTAATGTGAAAGGGATATCTATAAGAAGGGACTGCAAGCCCTAGTAAACATATCATACCCGTGTACTTATGTACGCACATTTTTATGTACACATACAAAGGGTTTAATTTTTGTTTTCCAGTTTTGTGAATTTTACACCAAATTGTTTTCACCACATGTGCTGTAAATGAGGCCAACATGTAAGCGGCACGTACAAACACGTACTTGTGTGCCTGTGTACACACGTACACATATATAAATGGCCTTACACGTATATATATATATATATATGCGTTTATAGGTGCATACCTATTTATTCACGAATTGTCTAAATGTATGTGCGGGGAAAATGTCCACATTTCTGTACTCGCGAATAAAATGTACCATTATAATTACATGTGCTTATTTTTTTTCCCGTTAATCTCTTTTTTTTTTTTTTTTCATTTCTTTTTGTCCGTACACACTTTTTTTTTTTTTTCTTTTCCAACATACATAAAATAATCACCTCAGTTAATCATACAACCTGCTTACACGTTATTAAAATATGAACCATACTAATCATGTGCTTAAAGTATTAAACACGTAGATGCATATACATATATTTGCATCACTGTATACTGAAATGTGTCCCTCTTTTTGACCAAAAAATCAAGCATTTTTGTTATGTAAACATTTACTCATTCGAAATTAAAAAATTGGTCGAAGAACCAAAATATAGCAACTTACAACAGAACAAAATAAACGAAAAAGAGATACTCAACATATAGAGAGGGACAGGAAAAAAAAAAAAAAAAAATGGGGAGAAATATCCAAGAATTTTACAATTTAAGGCATAGATATTTGGATAAAAGGAAAGAGACAAATTTAAATATTTTAAAAAGTACTAGAAATAAAATAACATTCAATAATGACGTAGAGGTTACAAATACACACTTTCATTTAGGCGAAAATAAAGATGAATGCAACAATAATGCACCAACAAGCGCGCATAAAGTAAAGGCCCAAAGGAAGACAGCTGGGTTAAGGCAGGACCATGAATGTGGTGAACACAGTGGAAGGCATAAGGACAGGACTAAACCTAAAGACGAAGAAAAAGGCAGCGACAAAAGTGGTAAAATGTGCAAAATGGTCCAAATAGCCAAAATTCATGAAGGCGATAAAAGCAGGGTGAACGACACTAACCATGCAAACAAGGCTAACAAGGGACCGGAGGGATCCATCAACCGCAAAACAGGTCATAAAGGTAAAGAATGCCATTTGCGCAAGTCGGAAGAGTGCAAAGACCACTACGTAAGTTGCGAAGACCAACACACAGGCGAATGTGAAATCATCCGAAACACGAATGAAACAGGCACCTGTTCAGATGTTTACGTGACAAATTCAAACAACTCATCAGCGCATCACAAGAATGATAAAAAATTGAATAGCCACTGGGGATTTAGCTCCAATGAGGCACATGTGCACCTAGTTGAACATGAAAAAAATAACAATTTAAACATTAACAACGTGAATAATTCGGAAATAAAAAACGTATACGATGTTTTAGATAAAAATGTTCGTTTCATCTGCTCCAAAATTAATGGTAACGGAACGAACACAACAGATGGCAACAGTACCATAATTCAAAGTGAATACAGACGTAAGAATGAGCAACAAAATAAGACTCATGCTACATCTAATATATGTTACAACAGCAATAATGACGAAAAATTGTCTCATGCAACGATAATATGTGACACAGTAAATGCAAATTTAAATGCAAAAAATGATGATCATGCCAATGATGGAAATTCCTACTATGGTGAAAAATATGATTATGAAGTGAAGAACATGTACGAGGCGGGAATCCAAATGAATCAAGGCAGCAACAATAATATCTACCCTTTCACCGATGAAAACGATTTACCCGTCATGGAGGATATTAACTCCTTGATCGACCACAATGTGCTAAATGAAAGAATCCATACAACAGAAAAAATAAATGTACATAACATATACAAAGTGTCCTTTCCAAAGGAATACCCAGACAATCTGGTAACAAGGGAAAAATATCTGCACAAGAGCTATCATTTCCCTACATTTCTTAATAAACAAATAAACGAACTAACGGATAAATACGCACATTGTGCAAAGATAGCGCACCATGGAATTAATGAAACACATGATAATCCTATGGATAATAAGCTCCAAATGTATAAAGCGATTTATAGGCACTACTCCGATAGGGGCCAAAGTAACAATAGTCAAAATGTCAAGGGCATAACCAGTTATGAGGACAGCGGGGAACAAAATAGCAATCAGGTTAGTGTGAACACCTGTAGAAAGAATCTCACACATCACATTCAGAATAATTTCGAGGATGAGCATAAGTCGAATATAGCCCGCACAAAATGCTTTTCGAGTAACAACTCTGAGCAAAGAGGAAAAAGCAACGGCACCAACAACAGTGGCAGCGAACACCAGAGCACCAATTATCGTACACCCAATGGAAACAACTCCAGAGGTGCCTACAGCAGTAGGCGCAACAACGGACATAATGACAACTACTACGGTCATAACTGCAACCGTAGTAACAATGCGAAAAATGGAAGTGACGACGATGACAAGAATAGCAGCGAGGATAACAAGAATGGCCGGGACCATGACAAAAATGCAAGTGACGATGACAAAAACGACAGCGATGATGAAAAGAACGAAAGCGATGATGACAAAAACGAAAGAGACCACGGCCATAACGAATTTGATGCAAAAGGGAGACCCCATCGTGATAGCTTCAAATTTTGCCACAAGGCTGTCAACCCAGATTACGGCGAACAACAGATCCAACAAAGCAAATTCTATTCCAAAGAAGCCCAACACGAGGAACTAAGCAACGTATACAAAAAAATGCAGACCAAACACATGAACAGTTCAGGTGATTTACACAAAGGATTATATATGCAGCAAAATAAAAGGAATATCAGTCCAAATAATAAATATCTAGAGGAGGACAGGTACGTAAGAAGTGATGATATAACCATACCCATTAATCATTTCCTCAAAAGAAAAGAAACCTATAATTGGAATAAAGAACATTACGATATATTCCACTCGTTAAATGATATAATAAGTGAAGTGAAAAAAAAAAGCAACTTTTTTATAAATAATTATAAGAATACGGATATTCTCATAGACAATAATAACAACGCACTAAAGAGCAAAATCAATAGCACCCTCTTCAGCCACATAAACAAAAATGGTAATTACCCCAAGGGTATTCACCCTCCAATCTATGCAGATAGCAATATGAGAAAAACACATAATGCGGAATATGTCAATAATAATCTGTATAAGCAGAAACTTGGAAGCAGCAGTGCATTAAATATAAAACACACTTCCCATTTAGGGGCTAGAAATAGCATTGCTTATCACGCCGAGATGGACAACTCTGGTTATACCTACAACGGTTACAGAAGTAACCACATTGATCATATCAGCGGCAACAGCGCCAACTGCAGCGAATACGATTGTGATGAACAACCCTTTAGAAATGATAGAAGCCCTGTAATATGTAACAAAATGAGTAGCTTAGAAATGTACAACATGGGGACGCAAAATCGACACGTAGGAAATTGCACGAAGAAGCAAACCCTCCAATACGATGGAAACTTCAAGACCGCTCGAACTGACCCGTTCGAATACAGCAGTAACTTCCTCCATAAGAATAAACTAAAACAAAACAGTTATTGCAAACGGGTAATGTTTAAAAACGTTGGACACAAAGTTGACAGAAAATTCGTGCAAATTAAGACAGAGGAAAACATAAGCGCACACACAGATCCCCTTAAGGAATACGACAAAATGAAAGACATATATATGCAGGAAAACCCGAATGGTAAGAATAGCTTAATAAATAAAGATATGTACATCAATATTAAAGGAACAGAAAACTCGAATTCATTTCCGTCTGCACAACACAACAAAGGTACCAAACCCCCCTTCGATAGTTCTCTTATGAATTCCTATTCTTATTTACAAAATGAGTTAAAGGATGTAGACGACATTCACACATCCATATCGAACGGCAACAAAGCGCACGTACAGTGGTCCCTGAGGAGGAACATGCCAACGACGGCTGTGCAGAACCAAGAAAAGGACACTCCGTACAGTAACACCCGTAGCAACGCGCATCAACCCATGAGTCACCATCACGAAGTGACCAAAGCGAGTAGAAATAACACAGAAAAGGAGATGAAGAGAAAAATTGTAACAAAAGGATATCTACATAAAAACCACAATTTCCTTCAGTACAATCAATACGCAGAGAATAACATAATCCTAGAGGACAGCAGGCCAGATGTAACTTACGAGATTAAACATGCAAATGAAGCAATGGGTGCCAACAGAAGTAGCGCCACGAACACCACGAGAAATACAAATCCCTTTGTAACAAAATGTTATAACGAACAGAATGATTATGAGTACATCGAGGACGACAATTCCATGTGTTGCGTAAATAACGACCAGCCTGATCACAAAATCCCTTACCTAATAATCAACCCTGGACACGGGACCAGTGATAAAATGAACTACGTGAACTATCCGACCGCACGCACATTGAGCGGAGGCGACTTCTTAAACACAAATAACGCACATACATTCTTCCACAACGGGGAAAACAACAACCCAGTTTGTACAGTGGAGTACTATGATGATGTCATCGGTGTAATTCCTGGCGAAGTGGAAAACACCAGTGCTAATATCGCTGTGCATAATTATAACCCACAAAGTTTCAAGCATAGCTATACCCGAGGGAACAAAGGAAGCAACTTCGAAAGAGTTAACTGCGGTGGTAAGAAGGAACATACGAGCTCTGCGGAACTTCCCAATAATGTCAAAACTGGTGGGAGCAATTACCTCACGAGAAGCAAATCCTCCCATGATACCCAGCACAACTATTCAGATCAAAGCATTGATTCCATATATGATCGAGGAACGAGCAGACTATATGAATACGACTCAGAAATGAATAGGAAAATATTGAAAACACAGGGGGGACCAAAACTAACACAAAAGGCGACAAAGGAAAAGCGAAAAATGAGATCGTTAAATAATATAGATACGAATTACTCCATTGAAAGCCTAAAATTAGGAGCAGGGAAAACGAGGAAAAGAGGATTCAAACTTATGAACAAAAACATCAGCGCTATCAGTAATGGAAATGGCAAAAGAAGCCAATGTACAAAGGTGAACAGCAGTAACCACGATATATGCAACCCGAATACAGATCCATTCAATTGCGAAAAGATGCAAGATGACCCCGTCGACATGACGAACGGAGAAGTTCATCATAGAAAAATTTCCACTGATAACATAAACTATGAACAAAGCAAAATAAACCCATATAGACAAAAAGTCGCGGAAGCAGATTGCAACGGAGGAAACGTCGCATCAGCAGATACGGAAGGTAGTATTTTACGCTCCATAGACTATTACAGAAATTATGACTCCGTCAAATGTGTGAAAGAGGATTTACTAAGAAATGAAAAGTTCCCATTCATCTTTTACGATTCTAGCATACGCAATTTGGTAATATACTACAAGGATGGTTGCAGTGACGAAATTAAATGCAAATATTTTTCCGCTCAACGATTTGGACACGCAACAGCCAAAAAAATTGCCCTGAACTTCCTAAGGTCCCTAGGAATCAATCCAGATCACCTAGAAAATAATAATGTGTTTTCCTATGAAAAGGACTCCAAAAGTAAGCTATACAACATGGAAACAGAAAAGACAGTTGTGAACAAAGAAGAAAACTCAAATATTAATCTTATGTATGACACGAAAAAGAGAAACGTAATCGTCTCATGGATTAACAAAGTCAAAGGATATAGCTTCAGAAAATTCTCGGCACAAAGATTCGGATTCGATGTTGCCTTAGGCCTCTCTATTGATTTCTATAAAAATTTAGGAGGAGAAAAAGAAGAAGACGAAATACGAAATTATATTAATAAAGTCAATTCAAAATTTAAGAGCATTCGAATATTAGCAAATAAAAAAAAAAAAAAAAGGAAAACGGAAAAATCATAGATGCCACAAACGAATTTGTAGACCTATATTCCAATAACTATGAAAACATGTATGATAATACTTCCCTGTCCTACTTCTATTTTAGAAACATGAAATGCAATGTAGAAAACATAAGAAATAAGAATATGCAAAAAGGAACAACTGCCAATACACAAATGAACAAGTACACCAATTTGTTTTACACAACCGATCAATTTTATCATATATTCGAATGCAAGTTAAAGAACATACATATGGAACAAGTAAAAATGACGAAAATTTATCAGTATGATTTCTTCTTAAATAAATCCTTTTATTTCCTATATATGAAATATTTAGAAAATGTCAAATCATCCCTGTGCGATAAAAATATCAAAAACGTCGCAAACATGTGTGAACAAATTAAATCGTGCAAACCCTGCACTGTGCAGTCATACTATAAAGTGCAAAGCGCAACCAATGTCCAATATACTAGTGACCCTCCCACCAACTACTTTCAATTGGTGGACCTCTACTGCGATAGCGATATTCATAAGAACTGCATGAAAGGCAATATAAACTACTTCATCAGTAAGATGGACTACTACAGGGGCGAAGACATCCTGATGAAAGGCTATTACACCGCAGATGACACCAAACTGTATGATATACTTTTCCTTTCCAGTGGCCGTAAAGGGGGATTGGAGAAAGAGGAGGACGAGGACAAAATTTTGGCCGATCTAAACAGCAATACTTACAACGACAGGGTGTACAACGGAAGGATCTATCATAAGAAACTCTGCAAAAATGAAGACCAACACAACAAACTCTACCCAGGGGCACTAGGATTAGCGCAAAAGATCAACAGAAGAACAACGAGGAATAAAAGCGCTGAAAGAGGAAAATCCTTCCGGGAATGTCAAGTTCATTACAATAGTGGGCATGACTTTGCCAGCGGTAACGACAATCCTAGGGGGTATGACAACAATTACAACTTTGGTAATAATAACTGCGGCGACGTGAACAACAGCAACAACGGTAGCAAACGAAAAAACTGTTACAGCCATTTCGACAATACTGACGACGATGACGACATGTACCTTTGCAACGAGAACAGAAACGGCACCAGAAAGGGGAGAAGAACATCGCAGCATACAAAGAGTGTCAAAAGTCAAGGAAATGCAATGCATAATACTATAACAAAAAGGAACTCCATTATGAATACCAAGAAAGGTGACAACTTTTATGAAGATGAGGACCAGGAGGGAGACGAAGACAAACAGAAAATGCTACTAAACCAAGCCAGTAGCTACAAAAAAGTTAGTAATGAAACAAATAAAATGAGAAATATGTCCAACGGAAAAGGAAAAAATAAAGGAGTGCAAAATGGAGCAATCAAGAAAACTGGCAGGGCAATCAACGAACAGATGCATAAGATGAGTCTTAAAAACTCGAGCAAAGGTGTTACCAAAGGAGGCACCAGAGGAATCAACAAAGGCAAAAACAAAGAGCAACATAACATGAACTATTTAAAAAATAAAAAATTTTCATCAACGAATAAAAGCATAGATAGCTTACTTACGAAAGAGAGAAAATATATTGTGTGTTACAACTATTTGGCGAAGATCCAGGTGAAGGTGTTCAGTGCTGATATATATGGCTCCATGACGGCTCAGAAAAAATCAATTGCATTTTTACAGCAAGTTAGGAGAGAACTGCAAACTGAGGGTAAAATTCTATACAGTGATAATGATAGCAAAACCGCATATGACATAACTACGTCGCTAATGGAGTCGGCGCCCTTAAATCCATATGATCAGGACAGTTTTGCACAGAATAATAATATCCAGTGCGTAGATCACCTATCTCAGGAGAGCAACTCGGTGGGCACAAACGGGAGGGGGAACAAAAGCAAAATAGGAGAAGACGCATTGGAAGAAGTGTTTGAAATTGCTGTAGCGCCGCAGGCAGTGGATCTCGAATGGAAGACCCAATTCTCGCAGGAACAGACAAAGCAGGAGATCACAGAACAGCAAGCGTACCAGAAGAGCGACAACGAAGCGCAGAAATGTCCCTTGGGGGAGACAACCATTGGAAAGGACAAAGAAAATGAGCTGAGTTCACAAATGAACGCTCAAACAAGTGACGAAAGTGCACCTGCTAACAACTACCAAAACACGAACCTAAGCGACTCCGCGGATTACCAAAGCATTAACAGTTTTTACGAAAATGAAGACAATAATGAAAACGTATCGATGTGCCGAATGCACAATTTTGAACATAATATGGTTAACCCTAATGACCCCATTATTTCCGAAAGTTTAATGAGGACATATTCACTCAATGAGAAACTTCATAGCGCACTAGACACGCAGAATAAGGACTGCAGCACCAAGGATGAGGAATATGAAAAAGGAATTTTTGGTGAACCCATTAAAAAGAACCCAAACGAATGTAACTCGTCATTAAATGAATACATAAACAACACGACAGGGGAAGAAGGTAAATATTTTGACCCTAACAGCAGGGTGAATTCTGTGAACAAAGCACCTTCGATAAGTTGCACAAACAGGTATGGTGACTCAATGGAGGATGACATAAGCACTGTGTTAAGTAACAAAAGGGAGCACCTGAACAGTACCATAAGGAGCAAAAGCGAAGACGAAAAGAGTAATGAACCTGCTCAGATAAATCAAAACGAAAAGTTGAGCCCACACTTGGGGACAAACGAAACCCAACATACCAGTAACATCGATATTACGAAATATATCAACTTAAGTAGCGATAAAAGGATTCCCATAGAAGATCCCCAAAAGGGAAAAATAAACACAGTCAATTGCTTCGACAAATTAAGTTTGGAACAGAAAGTAGTCAAGGGATACTTAACTCTAAGAAAAGAAAAAAACATTACACCAAATGTAAAAAGGGTGTACTCCTTACACGATTTATACAATAAAATTATTAATGAATGCGATTACGAAGATTTCTTATCACAGAATAGTGCACAGAATATACTCAATAATAGCAAGCGTGAGCCAAATTGTGGTTCTAATGATGATCCAAATGATAACCTCATGGACGATCATGATGACGATGCAAATGACGACCCACTGGACGACTTTTTCCCCTACAAGAAACGCATAATAATGAAAAGTGCCAAAACAGAACGAACGAACAGGAACCGTATACCAAGAACAGGGCTTAACCAAGACAGACTAGCCAATAACGGAGCGGTCACTAAAAGCGAATGTCATGATGCGGCCAGTTTTCCAAAGGAAAAGGAGGCAAAGGAGGAAACTGGAAGCGCAATTGGAAGCGACCCACGCGAAGACGCCAACATGGAAATATTTTTTAAAAGTGCAGAAACGCTTAGCAGCCGTAACCGTGCGTGCTCTCCGCGCAATTTCAAAAATGACTGCAGCGGACTAGTTAAGTATAACACTGCAAAAGGCGTAGTCAAAATACCCAAAATATGCGTCCACAAATTGGCTAGGAAAAAAGGGTTCACCAAATTGACATGTATTATTTATAGAGGAAAGGGAGAATTTGTTTCTTATTTCCTAGAACGAAACAACAAAAAAATTAATGACACAAATGCAGTGCAAAATGAAAATAAGCAGTACAAGAATACTGAACCGAATATGCCCTTTAAGAGTAACGGAAAAAATGACTGTGCTAATTTAAACACCTACCTGTGTAGCACTGGTGAGAATGCAGCTAAAGAAGAGGCTAAACTATCGAACAGGACATATTATTTCAGAGAAAAACAAAGCAACCTCTAATCAGAAAAAGCTTTGTTTTAAAATTTTAACCTATCTTAAAAGATAGATAAAAAAAAAAAAAAAATTCAAAAACATTTCCAATGAAGCATTGCAATCATGCATATTTTGAAACTTACGAAATCAATTTTTCGAATGTCTCATTCGAGAATTATCCCTTAAAGTGTTATCATTTAATGTAAATACACGTACACATTCTTTTCTCATCCCCTGTCATGATTTCTTTATGTTTAATAATTCTACTTATTCTTTTCTTTTTCTTTTTTTTTTTCCCCCCTTTTAACTCCTACGCGGTTTACTGTATCCTACGTGTAGTTATTTCCTTAATCACCTTTCACTTTGTCTCCCATTGTTTATGCCCTCTCTTTACCTGGCGTACATGAATACCCATTTGTGCGCATGCACATAAATACATTTCCACAAATTAACAAAGTGCCTGTCCAAATCGTCACCTTTTCAGTATTCATAACTTGTTAATATTAACACAACCTATGTGATCCTTATGTGTGTTTTATGTAGCATGATGAATTGACTCCTTGTCATTTTCTACTGTTTTATTTCCTAATTCACAAAATTTACCATTTTTTAATATGACTTATTACATGTAATAGCAACTTTTACATTTAATTATCTAACAACACGGGAAAATATTCACCAGACTTTATAACCTCAGCCATCGCGTTGGAACCACCCAAATAAACTCAAAATTTTCAGTGCACTTATATTTTAAAAAAAAATATGCCCTAATAAAAGTACCCCTAAATTCTATTAACCCTTCTTCCGCCTCCATTTTACACATGCCAAACTTTTTAAAAAGCTGCTCTTTCTGGTGCCTTACGTGTGGGTTGTAATGCCCCAAAAGTGCGTACGACTTCCACCAACCAATTAGGAATACAGCTTACCTAGCAACTGCTCACGTGCTCTTTATGATAGTGTGTGCACGCATTCAAAGTTGAAACAAGAAAAAAGACAAGCATTTTTATTATCTGCATATTCACCCGTCCCCTTTTGCGTAGCATGCAGAGGAAGAGAACAACCCTGTGCAATTTCGCCTCACGAGCATCCCCCAAAAAAGCGCTTCGCTTGCTGCTCCCCCGATTATCTCCCCATTATGTTTACCCCATCCTGCGTTATATTCATATGTCTACCCGCAATACACAATATAGTAAATATAGAGTGACAACATCTTAAAATCGGATACCCGCAAAACTATGTCGTTTTTACGTGTCTTAATTTTTTCTATTCATTTTATGCCAACTATTTTGACAGAATTTGCAAGTATATACGTGGTGTATTTAAAAAAAAAAAAAAAAAAAAAAAAAAAAAGGTGTTAACACCTCA